TGCATTCCTATAATCGCTTGCGTTGAAAACCATACAAGAAACAAGAAAATTTAACACATCTTGAGACAGCTGTACGTCTGTCGACGCCAAACTCAACTATTTAAAGTCCTAATATAAGACTACGCACTGCTTGCAGAATTCGTCTCATAAACAATATAAAATACTAAGTAACAAGTTATAAAATAGAACAACAGTTATTCGCCTGCTAAGTCGGTCAACGAAGAAATGATGAACTTGTTCCAGTAATCAATTATTTTTTCCTCATTCCATCAATTTCGAAAAACTCAAATATATTTTTAGTTTATTTAGTTTTCAATTTTCACCTCTCGTGGATAACACACAGGTATCAATCAATGAAAGTCAATAATATCCAATACCAACTGATCGAACGCTTCTCGGTTGAGTGTCGTGAAACCAAAAGAAAAGCAATTACAAAGGAAAATCAGCAAAAAAAAAAAAAAAACCCATGAAGAGCCAATGAGAACTCAAAGTAAATACAAGCTAACCGCCAAAAGCGGAAAACGCGGCTATAAGTCGTGATTGGTGCACGCGAGTTTTGCATCTGATTGGTTAAAAAGAGGCGCGAGTTCTAGACCAATCGTAGAGTAAAGTAAAGGAAAACCAATGCAATACCAGAATACTCTCAACACTCAACTGAGGGAACTAAATAAAACTCGTGCCCTACTGTTGGATGACGTCTCTGTCGATCAGTATAGATCACTTAATTATTAATGACTGTTACTAATAGCGCTATGGAGATAAGTATCCATAAGCCGACGACATTTCAACAACTTCATATTCAGCAGTAATCAATTCGTAACTCTCCTAGACGTGTATTTTTGCGTGAACTATTTTCAAATCGCTATGAATTCTACCACGTTACAATATCATAAATGAAGAATTGAAGCTCACCATCGACATCTACTAAGAACTGGTGAGAAAAATGCACAGTTTTCCCGCACTGTGAAAAAATTCTGTTGAAATAATGATGCTTTTTCCTCTGTGACATGAAAATAATTATGCTTCACGCGAACCAACCTGTTCACAACATTATCATAAATTATTCGATGAAGAGAGCGGTTTTGTCGAACGCCAACGAGAATTATCTCATATTAAAGCATTTACATCCACATTAATAGCCACTCCCTGATTCCCTAGATTGGAAACTGTCCAGAAAAAAATATCGCGCGTGACAGTTGTTCCTGTCTAAATTGCTTTACCAAACGCACAGTTTATACATAAACCTAGCGTTACAGTCCATTTCTTTTAATTGTCATTTTCAAAGAGCTAAAGGTATAATTCAATTTTGAGACTAAGCAGTGAGGTGTCTACATATTATATGCCACGTAGATAGGATCCAACTGATCCCCCAGGAACCCGTCCCTCAGATGCATCCGTTGTTTCTCTCCGCGAGAATTGATCGGGACTACACCAGGGTCTATCACCACCACCACCCCCACGACAAGTTGCTGTTCATTCAATACAGATGTCGTCACCAGGGGGACCACATCAAGAGCCTCGCGTTCATCTGCATCAAGCTCCACTGCTACCACAAGTAGGTTTGTCATCGTGAAGACCGCACTACAAAGGGAAGGGTGAAAAGATAAAATATATAAATAAATAAAAATACCACAGCGAATAAGTCATTCTTTTATACACAATGGCTCTTAACTAAGGCGGCTTTTCCGAGTTCATCTGCTACGGAGCGATGGTAAACCCCAAAAGGAGACAGGTGCTGGAGTAATCTAGTATCACACTAACCTTTCACAGATTGCTCGATGACACCTTGTCACTGTGTTCTCGATATCTACCGGGTGATATCTCATACCACGTAATATCATGGTCTCTTCAAGAGGGCCAACAACAAATAACGCGTCATGCCGGGCTGTTAAAAAAAAAAAGAAACAATTCATTGAAGAAATAACTCAGCGGTTTCAACACAGGGGTCACACGTCCGAGCACGAGAGAACGTTGCACTGGCCAAGAAGCGTGCTTTCCAGCATTCAGAACCACGGAGTCTTACACGAGTTATAATCATCCACCGAAGTCATTACTCAATCTTTTTCAAAGCCGTTGAACCTTTTATGATAAAGCTCTAAACAGAATGCTAAGTCAACAAGATACCCACAGCTAAATAAACTTCGTGGTCGAACATTTCAAGTTTTGGTGCATATTGCGCGGTCGTTTATTATGTTTTCCTTTGAAATTTTTCGCGGAAAATTGGCGCGTAGCTGGCCAAAATCGAACCGCTCGCAGATGCGCGACAGGAGTAATTACTTACGAAACAATATGTAACAGCTACATGGGAGCAAAACTACACAGATGTTAAGGGTGGTAGCCGTTAAAAAATTACCTAAGTACAGTTTGTAGCACGGCGTGAAAATTGCTGCAACGAGTGGTTGAGACAGGTTGCTTTTCGGTGAAGTCCACCACGCGAGTCAAACTGAATAATCAGGAGGGACTACCCGTGGTCTAATTTTACACTTAGTCTTCAGCAACAAATTACATAGTCAGGAATAGTGCCTCGCGGGACCGCCTTGAGACCTTTTGGTTTGCCGCACAACGTTTATCTTAACGTGCCTAAAGCTTAATCATATAGGCAGTGTATCACCCCACCTCCGTCTGTCTGCGTGAAATCCGTTCTCTTTATAAATCCAAGGTATCCCGTTCGCGCGTATTGGACTGCAGTCTCTGCCACGTTTCCTGTTGTGAGCTTCACGTTGAAGCGGTCGTCTGTTATCGTATCCTCTCCTGTCATGAAGTAACCGCTGCCATTATGCGGGCTGGTGACCCAGATCTACAACATTGTAACAAATGGCGTGTAATTAGTGCTCCACGAGGGAGTGGAAATGGCTGTTATCGTCCGTGAATTCAGAATGACTTACCTCTCCGAGATGCGAATCGGCGCACATGCCTTTGGTCTCTGGATTGGCGATCACGACTTTTACACCAGGCAAAATCTGACCATCAAGAACAAAACAACAACATAATAAGAAACCAACAGATGTCACCATTACGAGTGTTTGTTTACATTACAAACGTAGAGGAATCGAAAATTGACTGCTATTTTCTCCCAACCTCTTGCTTTCTCGTCATTATTCAATGATTTAAAGTTTGGAGAGCTAAAGCAGTGACAGTTGCCAATCAAGTTTTCAATCGTGTCAACACTGACTCACCTTGCCAGATTCCAGTAGGCATAAACTGTGAGGGCTTCCTCGTTCTACCAGAGTCACCCTACACGAATAAGACACCACAAGTGAAAATACAGTTACATCACGTCGCAAGAAAAAAGATGTTCATAAGATAACCTAACAAAGAATCGTACGAAATACCAATCTTGTGACTGGGAGCTCTATCTTAACTTCGTGTGAGTTAATTGTTGCACAAACAAACTACAATCAGCGTCAAAATTAGTTGACAAATGGAGCCAGTTATTTAAACAAGGTCTAACCCAAACCGCAGTTTTACCCAAGCGATGGGCCTCAGGTATTCTCTCTTAGAGGGTTGACTTAATTAAATGAATATCCTTCGACGATCAGCTTTCGACCCTCTGTTCACAAAAATAACTTTTCAGATAAAAGGTTCAGCTAGAATGAAGATAGTTTAGAACGCGGTTTGGGTAAACAACGGCTACAGTTTGTTTAAATAACCGGCCCATCTTGTTTGAAGAGTTTTACTTATGTGAAGAATGACAGCACTGTTTCTACCACACCTAAATCATTAACAGACCCCCATCATCCATTCGATGTTCGCTAAAAGTTCGTGGAATCACGATACAACATTGTTTCTATTTTAGCAAAAGGAGGCAATAGATTAACTTAACGAGTGCAAAAGAGATAAAATTGAAGTAATAGGGGGAATTGAAAATGTGTCCACAATTTTGTCGCCGATTGTAGATAAATTACATTGGTCAATCATAACTAACCCACGAAACACTCCCTTTGTCTTACATCAGCCCCTCTCGCGTGTCACACTCAAACAATTGGAGTGTCACGCTTAAACAATAGGAGCGTCACGCTCAAACACTAGGAGCGTCAAGCCCACGCTGCGCAAATCCTAAGAAGGGAAAATTTCACAAGCCGGAAAATACTCAAGTGAATGCATGTAAGCGCTTCGCACATGAGAAAATGCAATTGGTTTTAATCTTTCATCTGATTGTTTAGAAACACGGCTCCTGTCTTTTAAACGAAACACAGATCAAAGTGGGTCAATTTGATATAGTTCCACGACGGTTAATAGTATCCTTAGAAGTCTATCCCCAAACTGATGACATAACACCATCCGAAGTCGAAACAGATTGACAATATTATTGCTTTGGTATCTCACCTGTCGTTTCTTAGGGCTCGCGTGTCCACATACACGCTTGATGCCTCCGGCGTGGACGCACCCTGAAAAGTAACATAAACAAAGCAATCGAGATACCTGAAATATATCTTGAAATAGACGCACACTATTTATTTCATACAAATAAGAGAAATCTCACCTGCGTACAAATGGCAACATTAGTTCTGCATCCAAATGAAGTGCTTACTGCTCGAGGAGAGAGACCCAGGCCAGAAAACAGAGTAGAAAACGCTGTGGTAAGGTTTATCCTTGGACGCTCCTCGGCTACCACTACACAGTTACGTACACAGGTTAAATTGACGCCCTTCGACTGTGACAACAAAAACACGTAACGCAACATTTACCCTTTTGAACGCTAAAAGAATGACAAGCATCTAATTTCTCCTTACGCTATAACCTGTCAATCAAACATCGAGGTTAGGAGAGTAAAAAAGATGATCACCACCTCACTCTATTCCCTCACTAGACGTTTTCAACAGCCTGATCCTTGCAGAATGCAGGGCGTATCATTTATTTTTTCCACAAGCTACTGTCGCCTAGTGGTAAAATATTCAATCGGTAGGCAGATGATCACAATTTCATCATATTTTTCAGGTTGTACGCTGACGACAAACCAATCGGACACCTTTCCGATAATATCTCCTCTTCTCTTCTTAAGAATAAAATATCCACAATACCTTGAGTGCCGGTATTGACTGCCCCAGTCCCTTGGTACACAAATCCATAACGGGGTAGGAACAGAACGTGTCGCGGACTGCGAATGAAAACCAAACACAGTCAGAAAAACTTCATATTTTTTCCTCATTTTGTTTGGAAGGAGAGTCATTCGCAACTCACCTTTGTACTGACTAACAACTGATAACCAAAGAGCTGGATTCGTCTCCAGGTCTCCTGGGGGTATGAGAATTGTGTGGTGTCCAGAATAGACACTAAAAATGGAATTGAAAGAATTGTCAGTGCATGAACTGAAAAGAAAACTACACAAGAAGTCAAATCTACATTTTCTCTATTTTCTCACAAATAACTGGAAATTCTCTAATCATTTACCCAGTCAAACACCAGAGTAGAAATCCTAAACCACAATAGGGGTCGAGACAGACCGCGATGTCTCGAGAAGGGTAGAGCTCACACGCTAACTTCATGGATCGACACAACGCAGTCACTGCTGAGTGTGACATCTGTGAAGAAAAGAAAAAAAAAAGATGGTGACCTTGCGTGACACACGAAAGCTCCAAATTAATTTAAACTACTGTTGCGTGATCATTTGGTGACAAAACATTTGAGTCACGTTTCTAGATGTTCAAAATATTGGAGGAAACCTAAAACAACACCTGAGGCGCTAACAACCCAAAATAAGAACGAGGATTGGAAAAAATGTAAGGAAAATTACTTTGAATAACTAACAAGGCTAATTTTTTTTCTAACCCTTAGATATCGAGATTTAATTCAATTTCTTCTTTCTAGCTGTTACAAATTTTGGTACAGGCCAGCTTAGAGAATTTAGTTTTGGATTAAGCAAATATCTCCTGCTGATGAATTTATCTCTTCTCATTCCCAGGTTGCTCGATAATGTGCTATTGTAATTTGACTTACACGTCCATTCATCGCCTCTGAAGGTTGAAAAGGCTGAGGATCTGCGTTGAAGTATTCATTCAAAATTTCTGTAGAACTCTACCGAGATGGAAGGAGCAGACCCCCTCCCTCCCCTCCCTTACCCTCCCTCC